AGGGGCAGAACATTTTCCTGCTGGTGTGACACTGAGGTGATAGCCAACCTCGCCCTTTCTTGGTTCAGGAAGGTGGAAGGCATCAGCAGAGTGGACAGGCACTCATGGTTAGAGCCCAGGCTCCAGTTGCCCTGGGCCTGCCGGGCTGTCATCGCTTCAAGCTTAACTGCTTTCCCCATTCATTCAACACATATTTATAGAGCACCTTCAATGATCTAGGCTCAGTTCTGGACACTGGAAAGAAGGCAATTAACCCCCAAGTCTCTGCCGGAGTACAGATTGACAATAAAGGCAGTAAGTCTGATAGCTGCTGTCTATTTAATGACTACTAAGAGCCAGAGTAATTGTAGGAAGTGAGCAAATCATGGATTCCTAATTTGTTCATTTCTTAAATACAACCACACACACACATGGCTTGCCTTACTTCCCTGGGCTGGCATCAGGAAACACCGAGGAAGGAAAGATACTTTAAATTAGAACCATGAAAAAACAGCTTTGATTTAAAGATAGATAGACAAATAAATAAACTCTGTTTCCAGCTGTGTGCCATTTTTGACTGAGCTGTGCCAGCGGTGCTTTTATACCATCTGAGTTTAGGCAGGTGTTATGTTGGTTACAAATACTTATGGTCAAATTTTGTCTTTAATACTGGATAAATGTTATTCCCAGTTGATGCTTAAGGGTTGGCTATAGAAAGTCTGTTTCCTTCCTCTAAGGCCAGTCAGCATTTTACTGGCATTAAGCACCAAGTACACAAGGCCACATTTGTGTATTTGGACACATTTTGCATATACCCATATTGAAGGCTTGGCCTGGGGGAATCTACGTTGCAGACAAACTTAGGTATCTTCCTCAGTACCTGAATAGCAAGTGTTATATTTATTTTTGCACTTGAAAATATAACTCTAATTAATTTTAGTGAGATCATTTCTCAGAAAGTTGGATGTTACTGTCCCTTGGAAAGATCCCACAGGCAAGGAGGAAGCCAGTGTTTCCTGCAGCCCAAAGTGTGGGTCACTGAGTGGCTGCATTATCAACAGTAGCATTTCAATTTGTAGAAGTTTTTGAGAAGTCATGCATATCTTAAAACTTGCTTTTGAACAATCTCTGAGTACTTGGAATAACAGGATCATTTGAATAACATTTATTTTTCAATGACTTGAAGACCTAATCAAATATGGCTTGTTTACCATATGTTCCAATGGTATAAGTTCTGGAGGAGATAGCTAATGAAAAGCAAAAGTTTAAAGTGAAAAATCCAAGTTTGAAAAATAACAGATTAGCTGGAAAGATGAGGAGAGATCGAGATAGAATTAAATAGGGAAATGGAAAGTCTGTTTTAAAAAATAATTCCCTGATTGATCATAATATGGGAAAACACTGGTTAAAGAGCAACTGTTCCGTGTATGTATTGGAGAATAGAGGTGTATTAGTGAACTCATTGAATTTGAGCCACCTGTGTCAGATGTTAAAAATCAATGTGCTCTTGGGCCAGCTGAGTGGCACGTTGGTTAAAAGTTCGCTTGGAAGTGCCAGCTCTGTGCAGCAGGGCCCCGGTTCGGATCCCACATTAGGGCCAGTGACGCTGCGCCCTCTACAGCTAAGATGGTGAACAACAACTTGACCTGGAGCTGGGCTGCCGCGAGTCACCGGCGATGGCGTAGGCTGCAGTGAAGCAGCAGTGGGCTGCCATAAGCTATCGTGAGTGGCTGGCAGCCAGCGTGAGCTGCCAAGAGCTGCCATGAGCAGCTGCCTAGTGGCCGGCGACTGGTCTGCCTTACCCGGGAAGAGCGCAATGATAATACCAACATGGGCCAGTGAAGTGATGTCCTCCACAACTAGACTGAAGAGCAAAAGGACAGCAACTTGTCTGTTCCCCTTCCCCGATTTCCCAAAGCTATTCCCCTTCCCCAATAAAATAATAAAAAAAATTAATGTGCTCTTAATTTACATGGTTAAATAGAGTTGAGATCCAGGGTCTGGATACCTATATTCTGCTCTGTGCAGACACCATAGGAACATGGGGGCCCACATGGTAACCTGGAGGTGTCTAGAGTGGGGTCATGGAAGGCTGGACGAGAGAACCTGGGAGACGAAAAGCTTCATGGGGTGGTGGAGGGTCTTCAGGAATTTGAAGGGCTGTCATTGAATGACAAATTAGATTTCTTCAGGGTAGCATTAAAGGGCTGAGCTAGGACCAAGGGGTGGAATTTGAATAGGTACAAATCTTGGTCCAATTTTAGGAAGACTGTTTCTCTACCAAAGTGATACAGTAGAGACAGTCCTGTGATGTGGTGACTCCTAGCAATGTGATGTTTAAGCAGAGGCTCAGCTGCTGTGGACAGGAATGTGGCAGCGAGATTTCTGAACCCCAGGCTGTACCCTCTTGCCCTTCAAGGATTCCTTCAACCTTGAGGCTTATGGCCTTGGCAGAGTGGCTAGAAATGGGAGTGAGCTTGGATATTTACCTGGATCCCATTCTTTATCAGAAATTTCTCCTTTGGATGCAGCAGCAGGGGTGTGGGACCCCCAGCTCCAGCTCCGGGGCACATGCTGAGTCCCCTTGACCCTCTAGGGGACACATGGCTTGCCTTCGAGTAGTCTCCAGACCCTTCCCCAGGGTTATGGATCGACTGCCAGGCAACTTCTGCCCCTGTAGAGAAAATTCACTTATTCCTTTCCCATTTGTTGCCTTCCTTCTCCTCGCCACAGCCAACCTTTCCAGAAAGCTCTCCCTGCTGCCCTCAGCCGTGTACCACTAAGCTGAGATGATGAATGCCCTTCACACTCTCAGGCAGGTGCCTTCACTTCCCCAGAGCTGTGCTTTGGGAAGAAACATTCCCTTTCATGTCCTTTGTCTAATGCCCCACTCACCCCCATAGTACCTAGAATGGAATTTTTAACATCTTAGGAATTCACTAAAGTGAGTTAGCTGATTTAATCATTTTTAGAAAATGATTTCAAACAAAGATATCTGATGGGAAAGCGAATAACTACTGAATGTTTGGCAGGGTCCTGGGTGGGTGACACTTCTCATGAACACTTGTGACAGTTACACAAGGTGGATGGTACCTGCTGTTTCTCAGATGATTGTGTGGTAGCTGAGAAAGGTAAGCCCCCATGCCAATGCAACTGATATAGAAAGCTAATGCAGGCCTTTCTGTTGGGACGGTTCACATTTGTCCCTTGACTTCAAACTGCTGCCTTTGGTCTGCAGAATGACTGGATTTTATCATGATTGATGTGTGATACACAGTCAAGCTTCTCTCTCTCCCAGCACTGTCTGGAGCCTAAGTCCTTTGAGCTATGAAGATGGCACCTGTGCTGGAGTTGAGTTACTCTTCTGTGTCATTGACTATAGCTGCCCCTTCAGCACTGTCACAGGCCATCCCAACCTCTTCTTCTGAAGTATGGTTTCGGCCCTTGGAATCTCAGAAGTTTGGTGTTGGGGGATGTTGGGAAGGGGCTCGCTCTTTCATCATAAACTTAGGTAAGTGGTGGGTGGGGTGCCATTGAACGGTGCCTTTGCCCTCCTGAAAGCTTTTAGGAGAAAGATGAAATCCTGCAGAAGAGGCACACTGGAGCTAGTCAGCAGGAGTCACCGGTGGCAGTGGGATGAAGTGCAGGCTGGGTATGGTCTCCAGGTGATCTGGTTCTTATCTAGTCTCCTTGAATGATGGCTTTGGGAAGAAACATAAGCCCCCTTGAGGTCCCTGCCTGAGATGGGGACCTTTCATTTCCATTCCACTGCAGTTTCCTGAGCAGCCTCTTGTTTAGCTCCACCTTTCTCTAGAGCCCTTTCCTTGATGACCCTGTGAAGAGAGGGGAGCTATGCAAACATACTTTTAGGGGCCTTGCAGAGCTCCAGGGTCTAACCTCTTGCCTACCGCTGGCAGCAGAAGCTGCTGCTTCCCTACTAGGGGCCTCTTGGAACACTGCAGAGGGCATGGGTGCAGCCCTGCTGGTGGCCTGTCCCAACCAGAGAGAGGAGGGCCTTGGTTTCTCCTTATTCTGTCTTTCTGTGTTAGTTTTAAAAAAATTAAATAGTAAAACCTTACCATGTAATCATACCACAGCAAAAATGGAAAATGGTTAATTGCAAAGTCCAGATTCCGCTAGACCAGGCGTTAGAGCAAGGTTGAAAGGAGCCTCCAGCTTACTTCCGCTCTTCGGGCTGCATTTCTCCATTGCCGGCTCCACGCCAGACCAGTGGGCAGCTCCCAGAATTGACTGCTAGACTCTGATTGGGCCAGTTTGGGTCTCGTGGCAACCCCTAAGCTAACCAGCTTGTTCAGAGAGATACGGGGTTCTGATTGGCAGGCCAAGCCTCATGATAAGCCCAGGAGTGGAGGCCAGGTCACATGCACAAGGGGAGAGGTGTGGGACAGTGGTCCCTGGTGCAGCCCATCTCCATCCCACCATGCACATTCAGCGCCTAATATGCAGAAAAACGGGGTGCTCTCATTAACCCCCAACCGTGACTTGATGCTGCGCAGAGGGTGACTGTCCGGTGGCTCACCTTCCCTGCCGACTCACTTTGGGTTCCCAGAGTTGGAGTCTGCTGCATGAGCCTGAACCCTGCCTGGTAACAGCCTTGCTTGGTTCCATTGGCCTGTGTTGATTTAAAAAACTGGGGCCCTGTCCCTACTGACTATTACTTATGAAATCTTTATTTCAGAAATGAACGTTTTTAGGAGTCTCAGGGCTATGAGAATCTAGGCTTTGCCGCTTGGGGTCTTTGAGTAGCGCTGCTCTAAATGAAGGCAAGGATAGTCATTTTACCTCAGCAGCATGACAATGAATCTTTGTTGATATCAAGACCGGTTAAAAACATTGTTTTCTGGAAAAGAACTTACCATGCAATAAGTATTTGGTTGTCTGCTATCCTCCAGGCACTGACTGGGTGTACAGTACTTGCAGTTTGCAGAATTATTTCTCCAGATTTTTCTGTGTTTTGGGCCTCCTCTATCTCTGATGGCCTTCTCTTCTCTGTGCCACAGGGAACTGTTGGAGACCACATGCCGCCTGGCCAACACGTTGAAGAGGCATGGTGTTCGACGAGGGGACCGTGTGGCCATCTACATGCCTGTGTCCCCATTGGCTGTGGCTGCAATGCTGGCCTGTGCCAGAATTGGAGCTGTCCACACGGTTATCTTTGCTGGCTTCAGTGCGGAGTCCTTGGCTGGGAGGATCAATGATGGTGAGCATGTGGGCAGGGAGAGAGAGGGAGGAACCTAGGGTCCCCTGGTCCTTGTTTCTTGGGGCTTGGCCATCAGGACTTAGAGTGGAGACAGACATTAATAAAACCACACAGACAAATGACAGATACTACCAGGGACAGGCACATCACTGAATGAGCGTTTGTTCGATGAGCTGAGATCCGAGTGTGTGGATTTGCCCAAGTGAAGAAGGGAGGGAAGATTTCAGGTGGAAGGAATAGCATAGGTACTGGCTGAGTTGTTGGAACACAGTATGTGTGAGGGCCTGAAGGAGGCTGGCATAGCTCCAGAGGAGGAGGGAAGAAATGTGTAGGGTGAAATGAGACTGGAGATGTACAGAGAAGGTCCCACAGGTCAATAGCTGGAAGCCTTTCATCGTGAAGAATGATGGGGACCATCTCCGGAGGCCTGGAGTCAGGTATGAGAGCTTGTGATGTATCTTTAAGGCTTTCTGTCGACAGGTGGGTCAGAATTTCCTGGACAGTGTGCAGAACAATATCATCTCCTTCCCTTTTTTAGTGTCAGAGGGCCCAGCGTTTGGATGGTGCCCCATGTCTGTGCAGCCTGAACCCTGCTCTAATGAGATTCTAGACAGTCCTTGAACTGGCTCCCCAAGGAGGGTGTCAAGTTCTGGGGGCCATCAGGAATTCTTTGTGTCTCAGCAAAGACTTGTCTGTGGGTGGTGAACAGAGCTAAAGGTTGGAGTTTTCAAATCTCTGCTGACCATTTTCTTTAGAAAAGGCTGGTATGCCTTTCCACTACCTTTCACTGTTTCTCCCTCCACTTCCAAGTGTTGATGCTGCCACCCCTTTCTCTTTCTCTCTCTAAACTCTGTAGCGCTTACTATGTGCGAGTCACTGTTATAAGCACTTTGCAAAGATTATCTCCTTTAATTTAACTTAGTCCTCATAAATATCATATGAAATACTATTCTTACTATATCTCCCTTTTTTATTACCATTATAACCATTTTAAAGAGTACAATTCCATGGTATTAAGTACATTCACAGTGTTGTGCAACCGTCATCACTGTCTATTCCAGAACCTTTTCATCACCCCAAATGGACTCCTCATACCCATTAAGCAGGCATTCCTCTTTTCCCCCTCCACTCAGCCTCTGGCAACCGTTAATCTGTTTTCTGTCTCTATAATTTGCCTATTCTGGATATTTAATATAAATGAACTCATACAATATTTGTCCTTTTGTGTTTGGCTTCTTTCACTAAGCATAATGTTTTCAAGGTTTATCCATGTTGTAGCGTGTATCAGTACTTCATTTTTTATAGCTGAAAAATATTCACTGTATGCATGTACCACATTTTGTTTATCTGCATTCGTTGGTGGACATTTGAGTTGTTTCTTCTTTTTGGCTACAGTGAGTAGAGCTGCAATGAACATTTGTGTACAAGAACATCTGCTTTCAAATTTTTTTGTGGGGGGGTGGTGGTTGGGTGGGTATATACCTAGGTGTGGAATTGCTGGCTTAAACGGTAATTCTATATTTAACATATTGAGGAATGCAAAACTGTTTTCCGCACATCTGATCAGCAATATTTGAGGGTTCCAATTTCTCCAAATTCTCAACACTTGTTATTTTCCTTTAAATTATAGCCTTTCTAATGGGTATGAAGTGGTATCTCATTGTAGTTTTGATTTGAATTTTTCTTATGAATAATATCATTGTGCATCTTTTCATGTGCTTGTTGTCCATTTTTATGTCTTTGGAGAAATGTCTTCTTAAGTCCTTTGCCCATTTTTTAATTGGTTGTTTGTCTTTTTGTTGTTGAGTTGTAAGAGTTCTGTATATATTCTGGACACTAGAATACACACACACAGACACACACACACAGACACACACACACACACACACACACACACACACACTGGGGGTGTCAAAAAATGTATACACGTCTCTTAATGTTATCTATGCTCAAGCAGTAGTTCGTTGTAATCAGAAGTGTCTGGACGCTGATGGTAACCACTTTGATTACCTCTTGTAATTACAGAAGTCAAATATGACTTGTATTTATTTTTTGTTATTGGTATATATTCAGTATTACAATTAATACAGTTTTTTTCTGGCCTTTTGAGCTTCCTTTGCTTGGCCTGCTCCAAACTCTTTGGAGTGTACTTTCTTTTCTAATAATGGCCCTTGAGCCATTCTCTACTGTTCCGGCCCTCTTCTCTTTCTTTGAAAAGTATTTTCTCTTCTAATCTTTTTTTCCTGCAACGTTACCTCTCTGGCCCATGTCTCCATTCTTCGGTTCCATAAGACCAGGATCCTGGTACACACATACAATCACACATCAAAAAATCCTGTTTCACCATGTTCCCCAGCCCCAATTCCCTAATACTGTTCCCTTCCCCAATTCCCCAATAAAATCTTAAAAAAAAAAATACAGTTTTTTCTTTCTTAAAATGTATATATATTTTTCTGGCCATATGTATATATGTAATTTGAAAGTTTTTTTTCCATTCTGTGTGTTGTCTTTTCACCCTTTTTGTAGTGTCCCTTGATGCACAAAAGTCTTGAATTATGATGAAGTCCAGTTCATCTATTTTTTTCTTTTGTTTGTGGTTTTGGAGTATTTTTAAAGGATCCATTGCCAAATTCAGTGTTGTAAAGATTTGCTTCTGTGTTTTCTTCTAAGAAATTTATAGTTTTAGCTTTTACATTTAGATCTTTGACCCATTTTTGAGTTATTTTTTTGTTTATAACATAAAGTAATGGTCCAACTTCATTCTTTAGCCTGTGGATATCCAGTGGCACCAGCACCGTTTGTTAAACAGACTGTTTTTTCCTCCATTGAATGGTCTTGGAACCCTTCTCAAAAGTAATTTGACCATATTTGTGAGAACTTATTTTTGAGTTCTCTATTTTATTGTATTGACCTATATGTCTGTCCTTATGCTAGTACCAAACTGTTTTGATACTGTAACTTTGTAGTAAGTCTTGAAATTGGGAAGTGTGAGTCTTCCAACTTTGTTTTCTTTTTTTAAGATTGCTTTGGCTGTTATTGGTCTCTAGCATTTTCATATGCATTTTTTAAAAAGATTTTATTGGGGAATTGGAGGAGGGGAACAGCGCTGGGGAATCGGGAGAAGGGGAACAGACAAGTTGCTGTCCTTTTGTTCTTCAGTCTAGTTGTGGAGGATGTTGCTTCACTGGCCCAAGTTGGCACCATCATTGTGCTCTTCCCAGGCGAGGCAGATCAGTTGCCGGCTTCTGGACGGCGGCTCACTGCAGCTGCTGGCCGCTCACGCTGGCTGCTGGCAACACGCGGTAGCTTATGGCAGCTCACTGCAGCAGGGGCTGCAACCTACGCCGTCGCTGGCGACTCATGGCAGCCCAGCTCCAGGTTGAGCTGTTGTTCAGCATCTTAGCTGCAGAGGGCAGTGTCACTGGCCCTCATATGTGGGATCCGAACCGGGGCCCTCTGGCATCCCAAGCCAGTTCTTAACCAACATGCCACTTGGCCAGCCCTCATATGCATTTTAAGATCAACTTTTTCATTTCTGCAAAAAAGGCTATTAGTATTTTGTCAAGGATTGCACTGAATCTGTAAAACAGTTTGGAGAGTATTGCCATATTGATGATATTAAATCTTCCAATTCATGAACATGGGATGCCTTTCCATTTATTTATGTCCTCTTTAATTTCTTTCAGCAATGTTTTGTAGTTTTAGTGTACAAGGCTTGCATCTGCTTGGTTAAATTTATTCCTAAGTATTTTATTCTTTTGAAGCTTTTGTAAATAGAATTGTTTTATTAGTTTCCTTTGTGAATTGTTCATTGCTAGTATATAGAAATATAACTGATTGATCTTGCATTCTGCAAATCTGCAGAATTTATTAGCTTTAGTAAATTTTTGTGGATTCCTTAGGGTTTTCTACATATAAGACCATGTCATCTGAGAACAGAGAAAGTCTTATTTTTCCTTTATGATTTGGATACTTCTTTCTTTCTTTTTTCTTTTTCCTAATTCTCTGGTTAGAACTTCTATAACAGTGTTGAATGGCAGTAGTGAAAGTGGGTGTCTTTGTTTTGTTTTTGATCTTTGGGAGGAAAGCTTTCAGTTTTTCGCCATTGAGTATGATGTTACTTGTTGGTTTTTTCACAGATGCCCTTTGAGGAACTTCCCTTCCTAGTTTATTAAGTGTTTTTATACTTAGGGTATAAAAAAGGGTGTTGGATTTTGTTAAGTGCTCTTTCTGCATCAATTGAGATGTGGTTTTTGTCCTTCCTTCTATTAATGTGGTGTATTACATTGATTGATTTTCATATGTTGAGCCATTTTTGTGTTCTGGGAATAAATCCTGCTTTGTTAGCATTTTGTGTTGAGGATTTTTATATCAGAGTTAATAGGAGATATTAGTCTGTAGTTTTCTTGTGATGTGTTTGTCTGGCTTTGGTATCAGTGTAATGCTGGCCACATAGAATGAGCTAGGCAGTGTTTCCTCTGCAAATTTGGAAATTTGAGAAGCATTACTATTAATTAGCTTTTAAATGTTTGGTAGAATTCAGTGATGCTATCTGGTTCTGGAATTTTCTTTATAGAAAGGTTACTATTCACTTTTTAAAGACAAGGAAAATGAGGTACAGAGAGGTTAAGTAACTTGCTCAAGGTCACATTGTTAGTGACTGAGCCAGGGTTTGAATGCAGGCATTCTGCCACCCGAGTTCATGCTTTTATCATTACTCTAGGCTGCTCTTTTCCTCTATTGCTGATGTGCCCATAGTTAAAAAGTGTTTCTTTTAAGATTCTTGGAAACAAACAACAGCAGTTGACTGTGGGGATTTAGCATATTGGGATTTAATAGCTGTATGCTGGGGCAGCGCTCAGAAGAAAGAACCTCAGGAACCCTGAACAACCAGGCCATGGGAGAGCAGGGGCTGAGGCTCTGAGGGCCTCAGTAGGGGATACGGATACTACTGTAACTTTTCTCTAGAACTCTGCCATACAAAGGCTCTTCTCCAACATCCTTCAGTCTCTGTCCAGCTATTCAGATGTCACTTTCCTGGAGTCAGGACTCTGTTGCAAGAGGCGTCTGTGTTCTTTTGGGTCAATGAGAGAAGGCTTTGTATTGCTGTGTAATTATTACTGAGTAGTTTATTGGTATGTCATAAACTACTCTAAAACTTAGTGCTTAAAACATTAGCTTAAAGCAATAAATATTATTATTGTATTTCATGATTCTGTGGGGCGGGAATCAGATGGGCACAGTGGGAATGTCTTTCCTTGTTCCATCATGGCTGGGATATAAGCTGGGTTGGCTTGAATGATGGGGGGCTGGCGGGCATTGCTTTCTCTTCATGTGGCCTTTCCAATGACTAACTTGTGCTGTCTCACAGTGTCACAACATCGGTAGCCAGACTTGTTACATGGCGGTGCATGGCTCCAGGAGGAAGGAAGTAGAAATTGCCAGTTGTCCTAAAGGCCAGGACCACAATACACATAGCATCATTTTAGCTATACTCCAGTGGTCAACTCAGTCAGCGGCAATTTCAGATTCAAGGGGATGGGACCTAGATGCCACTTCTCCACGTGAAGTAGTGTGAGGCCAGGTCACAGAATTTACAGCTATCTTTAATCTGTCCCTGGGAGGGTGGAAGTATGATTATGGCCACCATGGTCTCACCTTAAGCTGGGTGGCCACCTCAGATAGTCTGTACTGTTCTACAGCCCTAGTACCCTGGCCTGGCCTGCAGGCTCTGACCACTGCTATTCCCTTTATTTTTTTCTCTTGCTTTAGGCCATGTGAGGAGTGGAGAGAGAGGGAGGGAGTGGTTGGGAGGGTGGAGGTCAGGAGAATGGCTCTGAGAGATGCTGCCAGGACAGAATAATGGCTGGCACAGATTGCCACTCCCTAATCTCTCAGAACCTGTAAGTATGCTACCTCACATGGCAAAAGGGCTTTGCAGATGTGATATACCTTAAAATGGGGAGGTTATCCAAGTGGGCCCAATATAATCACATAAGCCCTTAAAACCAGAGAACTTCCTCTGGCTGGAGGCAGAAGACATGTGGCGGAAGGGCAGGTCAGAGAGATTCAAAGGGTGAGAAGGACTTGACCTGCCTTTTCTCAGGGGTCTTGAGCCAGGGAATGTAGGTGGCGCTAGAAGCTGAGAATGACCACTGGCTGATAGCAAGGACAGGGGACCTCAGTCCCACAGTCACATGGAACTGAGTTTTGCCAATACCCTGAATGAGTCTGGAAGCAGATTCTCCCCATGAGCCTCCAGATAAGAGCCCAGCGCCCTGACACCTTGATTTTGGCTTTGAGACTCTTAGGACAGAACCCTGCTGAGCTCACCTGGATTACAGAGCTGTAAGCTAAAACATGGGCATTTTGAGCCACTAAGTTTATGGCAATTGGCTATGGAAACCATAGAAAACTAATACAGATGCTGATCTTATTAAAAAACCAGGGAGATAAATCGAGTCCTCCCATACAAAGCATCAGGCTGATCCTGCCTATGCCCTGATGCTATGCCCTCCTCCTGTACCTGTCACCCAGTTACAGAGAACCACAGGGTGATATGTACTCCCCATGTACCTCCTAGGAACCAGGCCTATGTACACAGGTTCCTGTCCTTGAGAACCACATGAGTGGAGGCTTTGGACAAACGAGCGCAAGGAGTGAGGTGTATGCCGTGGGAGGCTGGAGAGGAGCTAAAACCTACGTAATGCAATTCCAGCATGTTAGATAGGCCAGGCTGATGTTTTCTCCTGGGTAGTCCTTGAGAAGGTTCCCTTTGCATTTGCTGGAACCTCTCCCATCCTTCCCTGTAGGGAGCTCACCTGGACCAGTACCAGCTTTGGGGGACATAGGCCTGGAGAGTCTCTGACAGGCTCTACCCAAAAGAATTTGTTTCTCCAGGGTGACTGATTGTCAAGGCTTCAGGAGCAAAAAGTGTGTATGGCCAAGGATACCTGGTATGTAGAGCAAGATGTCACTACCCTTGGCACCCCAGGCAGTCTAGAGTGTCTCTTCAACCCATGTATGACCCTGCTGAGTCATCCAGCTAGAAAGGCCTGTCTAGAGAATTCTCAGGTAGACCTCAAGGCCATGTCATCTCTAGGTCTCTTGGAAGGGAGAAAGAACGTGGGTACACGCTGGAAATCGCTTTTCAGTCTGAAAAGCTGAGGGAGATTGGTAGCTTAGGGCTCCCTCAGAAGCAGGCTTGGAGATGAGTTAAAGTTCGTTTTGGAAGTGGTCCTTGGAAGTGCTGTAGGGCAGTGGGGGTGAGTCTGGGAAGAAGAATGAAACCAAAACAGCTTCCACAGTGGGTGTCCAGAGCTTAGTGCCACAGGGGAACCCTGTAAGATGATGGAACCACATGCATCAGGATGACCCCTGACCCAGAGGTGAGGGAGTTGGGGTCTTTATATACCAGCTTTTGAGAGTGATTGGTTGAGGGCTGGGGATAATTCCCCAGCACTTCTGCCGGTGACTCCTAAAGAAGCCCTTGGAGCTGAGTGATTAAAAGGTTTGAGTGATGTGCCTGGGCCCCCACCAGTGAGTACTAAACTTCCTTAGGGTTGTGGACTGAACAATAACATTGACTAAATAGTCCATCACCAAAAGGATTTATTCGGGAAACGGAAAGAAGAAAGGGGGGTGGGTGGGGTGGGTTGCAGCAGCACGAGAACATGCGGACCCAGCTATTCACATGCACATTCTGTCTAAGATAGAGGATACATAAGGCAGGGAGACATGAAGTTATAACCATAGAGTTTTATAAACAGGAAGTTAGGATCATAGAGGTTAAGGAGCCCAACTCCGCCCAGCTCCTCTCATAGACCTCCCAGCCTGATCAGTTTCCTTAAAGTCCCAGTTCATGTTTATCAGGAAACCATATAAAAACCCACTGTAGCCTGGATCCTTCCAGGTCATCCAACCTGGGGCACACTGTGGTCCTGAGGCCTAATTGTGCCCATAACTGATTCCTTGCTCTGGGCTTCCCCCTAGGTTAACTATGGAAGCTCGGTACTGCCACAGGCCTGGCTGTTGGCTGGGTCATTGAAGAGCAGGTGTGGAGCCTAGAGGGCCTTCCCCTGAAAGTGAGAGTGTGGGCCTGCAGCTCCTGGCGTCCACCCAGGATGTGGTGTCTGTTCTCTGGTAGTTTGGCCCTGGATAGTGCAGGGGTTGCACTGGACACACTGGGGCTTGGTCTCTGGCTGCACAGCTTTCTTGGTTTCTGCTTCATGGTGGCTACGCCTGGGGGTGATGTGATGGCCTGGGAAAGCCCCTGGGGCAGGTGGGAAGGAATGGTGGAAGATTGGAAGAGTTCAGCTTCAAAGTAACTTTTCTCCAGTTACTTCCTGCTCCTCCTCAGAGCTGGAAAAAGACTTGGTGCTTCTGCACTCACAAAGATTGCAAAGCAGGCACACCCCTCACTTTTTTGTTGACTCTTTTACTCAAGATTGACTTTCTCTGTCACCGCCCTAGGCCTGGAACATGTGGCTGCCAGTATGGGCTGTGAGGGTTAAAGTGGGGAGGAAACTGATCAGAAATGTCTGTTGTCTCTGTTAGCCAAGTGCAAGGTGGTTATCACCTTCAACCAGGGACTCCGGGGAGGGCGCGTGGTGGAGCTGAAGAAGATAGTGGACGAAGCCGTGAAACACTGCCCCACCATCCAGCGTGTCCTGGTGGCTCACAGGACGGACAACAAGGTCCACATGGGGGATCTGGATGTGCCCCTCGAGCAGGTGGGTTTACCTCACTTTGCAGTTTGAGGAAGAGAGGTTATTATTTGGTTAACTGGATCTGAGTCTTGTCGGATTGTGGTTCTGAATCTGGGTTCCCCTGAGGTATCCAGATTTCCCCTGTGGTATGTGGTGGGCTTACATCCTGGCTGGGAAGAAGGAACTCCAATACCACAAACATAGTGAAACAGCTAATGTAATAGAAATGACTGGATTCATCCTTTTATGTTGTGTTCTCTCTGCATCTGGAATTGAACAAGGGCAGGCCAGAGGTAAGCTCGGAACCAGTCTGCCAAGTCTCACAGCAACCAGAGAGAGGTGTTCTCAAGAAGGCTGAATGGAGGGGAGAAGCTAACTGCCCTGGGTGGGGCTGTTTTTGTCTTCCTTCTTATAGGAAATGGCCAAGGAGGACCCTGTTTGTGCCCCAGAGAGCATGGGCAGCGAAGACATGCTCTTCATGCTGTACACCTCCGGGAGCACCGGGACGCCCAAGGGCCTTGTGCATACCCAGGCGGGCTACCTGTTGTATGCTGCCCTGACGCACAGGGTATGGCTTTGGTGGGGGCTGGCGGGTGCGCAGTGCTCACCTCCCTGGTAGGGCTGGGCCTAGGGCCAGGTGGGGCTGGATTTAGGGCTAGCACTCTTCCTGCTATAAAGCAGAGCCCATGGGTGTGAGGTTGTTTTCCCACAGTGTGCTCATGAGCTAGGCTGCTGTGAGTCGTGGCTCTAGCCCAGTGCAATGGGTGGACAATGGGGCCGTGTTCCTGTCCTTGATGGAAGAGCCCAGGTCCCAAGGTTGAGTCTTACTGCTGGGTTTTAGTCCTTTGCACCTATGCCTGTGTCATCTGTTGGCTTGAAGTCCTAAAGGAATGGGGCCCTCACCAGCTCTGATGCGTTGAATGGCAGAGCCACATTCTGGTGCTCAGGTCCTAGACACTTTGGCCTTCCTGGGCCCCTTCCTCCATCAAAAAATGTTAAAAATTATATTTTACAACTGTGTTGGTATAAGGATGACTATATTACTGTTATATATTAAAACATTTTCTTCTACTTAAAAGACCATTTTTTTCTTCTGATTTTAAAAGAAAGTAAAACATTTTCATGTGCCCCTAAAAGTATTGTGGCCTCTAGGCCCTGTTCACTGGGGCCATATTTTAGAAGTAAAATAAAAAAGATTTACTTTTATAAAGAAACTTAAATTTAGTATGTGGAAATTATATTACAGTAGGCAATCCTTTAGGAATTATAAAGCAAACCATATAACATGTTTCTTTTTGTTCCAATAAATGAGTTTAGAAATCAGTACCCATTTAAATATGGGGGGGGCATTGAATGGCAGTTTATCATGGCATCCCCGGTCACCTTGGGAAGTGGCTGACACTTTCCAGGTGGGATTGGATATTAATATACCATCTGTAGACCAGATTCTCTGTTGCAGAAGGCAAAACTCAGCTCCAGCAGGTGCCAGCAGCAAAGGGAACTGTCTGGCCAGGTGACCGGAAAGCACAGGCCCATCAACGCAGGGCTTGGACACTGTCCTGGGTAGTGGTATCTTCCCTGCCTTGGCCCACTTCTGTGCCCACCAAGTTCTCAATGGGTTTTAATTTTTCAATTTGGCTGCTCCAGGGGCCAGAGAGAGCCTTGACAATCCCAGTCACTGTGGTCAGGGGTGAGGGTGGGCGTGGAATATGCTGATTGGCTAGCCTGCGTCATGTGGGAGGAGAACCTCATGGAATGAGAATGGATGAGGAGTGGGTGATGGGTAGCACATTCACACAGCCTCCTAGTGGAGATGTCTGGTCCTGTTGGTGGCCACTCACACCCAGCACTAAGGATATTGAAAGTGAATCAGAAAGACAGATGTGGTACAGAGCCAGGCTGAGCAGTGTATTATTATACTTAATACAAATCCATATTAAAAGTGCCTTCTGGATGCTGGGTGACCTTGAGCATGCCACAGAACCTTTTCAGACCTCAATATTCTGATCTGAAAAACCTCACCCTTCCTCAGTTCTTGGTAGGATATTGCAAAGATTGATACATCAAGTAAGTAAAAATACTTGGAAAATATAAACACTGGGGCCAAATACCAAGAAAGTCACAGAATGGATCAAGTTGTTTCCATCAATTTATAATAAAATTAACATTTGGGAAGCTGTAAATGTGACAGATTCTTCATTTTTTTGTGTTTTCAAAGGACACTGTCTTACATGAACAAAAGAAGTGGGGATATAGGGATGGGAAACCATCGTTTGAATTTTTTTCAATACATTGAGTGTTTTCTTTGAAGCATTAGGAGTAGAAACTTTCAGCCTTCTGTAGAAAAAGTGTGTTTCTGTGTGTGCACATATGTCTGTGCATGTGTGTGCATGTGTGTCTCTGCACGTATGCATGTATGCACATACAGAGGATATTAGGGCTATTGGTTCCTTCAGGGAAAAGGACAGTTGACTGAAAGGATGATGGGAATGTGAACTGATTTTGGAGGTATGCAGTGGGGTCAGGGCACTGGCTGGCTTCCTGCTGGGCCCTTTGGAGAATGGCCGGCCCACATACCTACCCCCCCTCCAAAAGCTGCAGGGGGAGAAATCTCTAGCCCTTTGAAAGCCTTGACAATTTGGGTCCAAGTTGTATTAAAAATCCTTTCAGGTCCCAAATGATGTGGGGTTTTGGAATGTGGGCATTCTGATTCACCAGGGCAGTAAAAGTGCTGTCTTCCTTGAAAGAATCCTCCCCAACCTCAGACACTGCTCCATGGGGCTCTAGCCATGTCTAGGCCACCACTGTGCTGTCTGGAAACTCCTGGAGAATCTCAGTGCTTGTCCTTGGCAGCAGAAGACTGGAGCCATTTGCCACTCCTCCCAATTAAAAAAATTTTTTTTTCATTGCACAATAGAACAAAGATATAGAAAACCATCCAAGTTAAATATGTGACTTAACAAATTATTATAAGGCAAACGCACTTCATTCAGGAAATGGACCGCCTCCAGCCTCACAGAAGCCCCTTCATAGCCCATCTGCCTTCAGCCCCCTCCCCACATCCTGACTTCTAAATATCACTGCCTTGTGTTTTCCTTTCTCTAGTTGTCAACTAGATGTGCATCCCTAGGTCCTATAGCTTACTCTTGCCACTAACATTTTTTCAATATGTCTTTTAAGCCTTTTTAAACCTATAGGTTTTTCTCCATCCCTCCCATTTCTTTATACTTTGCCTGTCATAGCCTCTGGCTGTTTATCCCTCTGTCCTCCATGTTTCTTGCAAAGGACAGTTGGATCCAGAAATAGGATCAGGCTCAGTTTGGACTCTTTGGCAAGAATGCAAGAGACACCTGTGTCTCACCTCTCAAGCTCTTAGAAGCTGATGATGCTTGAGGTGTTTCTTGGTCTTTTTGACTTTCATGTTTTGCAGTTTTTAAAGGGGTTTTAAAATTGTGGCATAACTTAATGCAGAAAGATGCTCTTATACATACAACTAGATGAAGTTTTACCTGCGAGCACATGTGGCGCCACCACCCAAATCAGGACACAGGGTGTCTTCAGCCCCTGGAAGGCCCTAACATGCCTGTCACAGGCAGTCCCCAGCAAGACCATCTTTAATGTGTCCTCCGCATACAGATCAGCTTTGTCAAGCTGGGGCTCATACAGGGTACACTCTGGGGTTTAGCTTCTTTCATTGTCCTCTGCAAGAATCAATGTTTTGTTACATGTACTAGTAACTCCCATCTCTTCATGGCTGTGACTGCTTGAAGCCACCACATTACACTCAGTCTTCTGCTCTTGGCAGCCTTTGGAGCAGCTATGTCTTACAGTTGTAGAACACTCTTAGTGACATGTGGGAACATGGGGTGACAGGCTCCTGACAGCCTCTCCTGTTTGTGCAGCTTGTGTTTGACTACCGGCCAGGAGACGTCTTCGGCTGTGTGGCTGACATCGGCTGGATTACAGGACACAGCTACGTGGTGTACGGACCCCTCTGCAATGGAGCGACCAGCGTCCTTTTTGAGAGCACCCCAGTTTACCCTGATCCTGGTGAGGACTGGGAACCCAAATAGGGACCCCGAGAGAGAGCTTGAGGAAGGAGGAGAGGTTTACAGGAGTGTGGCGTGGAGGTCTTCCCTCTGGCCTGGCTGTGGTTTATGGTCCCGTGGCACAGCTGCCGAGCCTTGAGCCCTGACGGTTGGGCGGGGGCTGGGAACCTTGTCCACAGTAAGATCAGATGAGCAATAGAAGGGGGTCCTATTTGGCACTGGAAGCTTCCTCAAGACCATCCACTCCAGCATTCTCTGACTTAAACTGCCTGCCTCGGGCCTTCCCCTTATCACTGTGTCTCTTATCTCTATGGCCACCTGACCAGATCCAGCTCATCTTAAAGCCCAGGCCAACTGCCAGCCTACTCAAGTCCTCCAAACAGAGGGGGCTTTCTACAGCCTGCTAAGTGTCCCTTCAGGGCTGTCCCTTCAGAGTGCATCAAGCATGGCCTAGAGCCACCTCCATGAATTGATTTCACCTGGAGGACTTGGCCATGTCTGCTCACCTTGGCATCTTCCTCCCATTCAGCACAGTGACCCCAAGTATTTGTTTTAATGTAATTGTAAGGTGGTAGCCCTGCTAGAAGGCACTTGCCCAAGCATCCCACAGTGCTGACAGTTATGTGAGTAGAATGTCTTTGTCACCTCCCCTTCTTCCTCTCCAGCCACCCAGTGGGGCTAGATGCGCTGTGGGAAGTGTAGGGGGAATAGCTAGGGATTAAGAGCGATGTCTTAGGTGTGGTCACAGACACATCACTTCAGCCACTTGAAGCTCAGCTTCTTGTGTGTAGAGCAATGGTGGTGAGTTTTGGGACTTTATGGGGTGAGCATGTGCTGCTGGGCAGTTTCCCTGGTCCCTGGAGCTCACGCAGTGGTGGCCTGGCCACACCGTTCTAGACTGTTTAGAGACTTTAGAGACTGTTTAAATGTGACTGAGGGGCCGTCCGAGTGGCTCAGTTGGGTAAGAGCTCGCTCAAGAGTTTGAGCTCTGAGCAACAGCAGTTCGAGTCCAGGCCCAAGCTGAGCAGCCGCTGAGCTGCCAACAGGTGGCAGGATGGCTCAGCTTAAAAAAAATAAATAATAAAAAAATAAATGCGACTGAACACAAGTTCTATGTTAATGCTATAAGGGGTTATTTTTAAATTCACAGTAACATCCTTTTAACTACTTCCTCACTATATCATGTGGGGTACACCATGTGGGTGGGTACAGCTGTCCAGAGCCAGGCGAAAGCCGTTTACAAATGGGCCAGCCTATAGATTGGGGTGTGCCAGGGGATGACCGCCACAGTGAGCCCTTTCCCAGAGGACTCCCTTTCCATCTTTCCCAGAGTCCTCCCTTTTCATCCCAGTGATAGATGTTGAATCCTGTTTTTGTGAACAATGCAGGTGTTTACACATATCCAGTACCCAGTACTGTTCACTGATCTCTAAATTAGTTTAAAATAGATCATGTCTGGGGGGCTCTAAGACTGACTGAATTGTGGCCTTTTCGTAGGTCGGTATTGGGAGACGGTGCAGAGGTTAAAGATCAATCAATTCTATGGTGCCCCAACGGCTGTCCGGCTGTTGCTGAAATACGGTGACGCCTGGGTGAAGAAGTATGACCGCTCCTCCCTGCGGACCCTAGGGTCAGGTGAGTGCTACTCTGGCTGGAGAGGATGTGCGTGTTGTCTGTTAAAGCCAACGCAGGCTTTTTAATGGTTTTAATCGTGAAAGCTACATGGCCGTGTATGTGGTGAATTCAAAAATGCCAGGCCACTCAGTAGGAAATAGAGGTCTCCGCCTATCAGCCCCTCCCTGGGACCCACAGCCATTACCAGGGCATAGCATTCCAGACACTTCCTGTGCCTCGGTTCTTTGCTTCATTCTTATTATGAATCCTCACCAACTTAGTAAGGTAAGGCCTGAGCCCTTCCTTCGGTGGCTGAACGGGATTGCCCTGTAGAAATCAACTGCAGTTCGCTCAGCATTCCCCTGATGCTGGACAACAGTTATTCCCAAGCGCTGTAATAAAAGCCATTCTGTGATGTGTGCTGTTCTCACTATTAAATAGATATTTTCAGGAAGGTAGTTGCAAGATTGAAGGTTATTTTCATTTGTAGTTTTGATAGATGTTGCCAAGTCACATAAAAGCGTTTGGGAAAGGTGACATGGGGTTTGTTAAGATGGTACCGGGAGGCCCTTCCTGTTCTCTGCTTTTCCCTGATGTGTTTCATTTCTACCCCTACACGTGTTCTCAGGGGTGGTCAGGAGGAAAAACAAGGCGGGAGGCCCTCCCTACTCCTTGATGAATACACAGATCTGCTTGGTGGTTTTTCATGGAGGAAACCTGTGGGGCAGGTACCCTTGGGGATGTCTTTCTGCCAGTTGTGTCCATGGAAAAAGGAGCTTCATGATGGTGTGCATGCATCATTTGTCTGTGACGAGGGCATGCAGCACTGGTACAGGACTTCGGGCCCGCCCTGATTTGCTCTGCCCCTCTTGCCTACAGTGCCCTGCTGCCCTTGCCCACCTTTCAGGATCCCGACCCTCCCTCAGGTCCCCTCTCTATGTTGCTTCTCCTGGGGATTTCCTTGGCTGCTATGGACCTTGGGCTGTTGGCTCTCAGATGAGCTGACTCCAGTCCGGATATCTGTCCTCGTGCTGACCGTCTCACCAGGCAGTGAGCTCCCAGAAGTCACAGCCGTCTGCGTCTTCTACACGGCTGCGTCCATGCAGGGAAACACAGCAGGTCAGGTGAGGGCTGACTGCTTGTTGTGAAGCTGAGCCCCGGCCCAGACGCTGCCCTGATGCTCCACCCGAGACTCTGGCTTCTCTGGAGCAGAAGCCACTAGGCAGCTCTGCCTAGAAGACATGTTTTCATGCACCCAGCTCCCCGTCCCCCTGCTTGGGTCCTACCTGGTGGTTGGTGTCAGTTTGTGTCTGGATGACCAAGCACTTTGAGTTTTCCAGGTGGGAGCAACAGAAAGCGCATTGGGCTCCATTCTAGGTGATGGGGAGTCTGAAATGCCTCTTTTGGCATGTTGGTACTGTGGAGGTGAGGCCTGTGCGCTCCTGACTGGGACCATGTGTAGATGGAGAAGACCCATGACATATCTCTATACTGTGGGCCAGGCAGCATGTGGGGACCAATAGCTAGTGGAAGGGTGGCTAGTGCCACAAACAGCTCAGTTTCTCCAGGTGTCATCTGCAAAGCCACCTGAGTGGGCTTAGGGAGTTAATTGGGGACAGGGCTGGAGGGAGGTTATTTGCTAGATGCACTTATGAGATTCAGTTGCTGAGGAAAACTCACAAGGGCTCAAATGACAAGGTGCATGCTCTGAGCACTTCAGTTGCTCTAGGGTGGGGTGCTGATCTCCATAAAAAGCTGCCTCAGCCAGGGGTCCCCCGAGGCCAGGTGCAGGCTCTCCATAAAGGTTGTGGCCTGACCTTGGTCATGGTGTCTTGGATCAGGTGCCACTGACACATGCAAGGATCCCTCTGTACCAGGGAGCCCACATGAGGCTCAGCTGGGCCCTGGGTACTTTGCTGGTCAGGGTGGGGTGTGTGTGTGGGTGTATATTCCTGCCACATAACCAATGCTAGAGGCCTGTGGAGGTTTCCCTAAGACCAGGTTATCGGTAAGCAGTGCTGGCAGCCTGGCAGTAAGCACCCTGCAACTCCTTGCACGCAGTGCCGAGCAGCACCAGAGACCAGTAAGCTTCGTGCCCAGCTGGGTGCTCGTCTCTTGCTGTGGTCATAGCTCAGGACCATTCTAAACAGATCAATTAGCCCTCATAACACTCCAGGCTTTGGATGTATTGACTTTATTTAATCTTACCAGTCAGCAGAATCTAGTTCACTCAAGACTTCAACCCCAAGATACATTTCTTAAAATTTTTTTTAAACTTTCAATTTTACAAGCAACACATGGGTATATTCTTATTGTAAAAGAAAAAACTTGGTACTTTGCAATGAAAGCAGATGCCTACTGTGAGTGCTGCTCCAGGGGACCCTGTTGCTAATGCACCTTCTGGCGCCTTCTTCAAAGTTGTAGGAGTATTCCTGTGCAAAGACACAGCTAGGCTCTGAGATGATTTCTTTAACATGAATGTCATCACACTGCACTATTATCCTGTGATGTTTATTTTAACTCAGTAATAGGCAGAGTTTTCCATGTGGCTCTGCCCCCTTGTTTGAAAATTTGCTCACACTCTCCTGTGGGCATTGCGGTGCTCCTTGTAGTCATGTCCCTGTGGTTGGCTATTGGGGCTATTGGCAGTTTCCCAGTATCAACCAATGCTGCAGAGGCATCTTCCTGTCTCCTTGTGGGCATGTGTGAGTGCAGGGGCAGTACACACAACACCCAGTCACCCGTATGACCAACACAGGAGACGCCCAGCCAGAACAGGCTTTGGTTATTTGCAGCATTATGGGTGGTTCTGTGCAAGAGGCAACCAGCATGAGAGTATTTCAGTCTTTAGCAACAGTATGTCTAAACCTGTGAGTTCTAGCTGAATGCTAGTCGGATGCGGGTGTTTCATTAGAGTAGTGTTTTAGCTCTTCCGGCTGTTATAACAAAACACCACAGACTGTGGGGCTTATACACAACAGGAATTTAACTCGCACTGTTGTGGAGGTTGGGAAGCCTAAAATAAAGGCATGAGCATGGTCGAGTTCTGGTGAGGCCTCTTCCTGTGGATCCAAGAAGACAGTGCCTTCTTGCTGTGTCCTCACATGGTGGAAGGGCGAGGGAGCGCTGTGGGATCTCGTTTATAAGAACCCTGATCCCTGTCCTGGGGGCTCCACCCTCATGATCTCAGCACCTCCCAAAGGCTCCACTTCCTAATACCATTATCTTTGGGGGTTAGGATTTCAACATGAATTTGGAGGACACGCACATTCAGACCACAGCAGGTAGACACTGAGAATCGGCAATAGAGCCATATGGCATAAGCACGTTTCCCCTTTCTACTGAGATATAAAATACAGTGAAATGCATGAATGTCAGGTGTTCAGCTTGAGAACTATTTACATATATACATATATATATAACCACACCCAGAGCAAGCCATAGAAATTTCCAGTCCCCAGAAGGCTTCCTTATGCCCTATCCTAGTCAGGATCCTCCAACCATGACCACTACTTGGCCACTCTCAGTGTGGACTGATTTGCTTGTTTTTGAACTTCATATACATGGGCTTGTGTGGCATGTGTTACTCTTGTGCCTGCTGCACTTGCTTGGGGCCATGACTCCGAGGTTTTCCCTGTTGGGCATAGTGGTGGCTGACTCATTTTCATGCTGTATGGTACTCCATTGCATGAATACGGCACACTTTCTCCATCCCACTCTTGATGGATAGTGTTTAGTTTTTGGCCACTGTGAACATCTTGTACATGTCCATTTTCGGTGGATATGCACTCGTTTCTGTGGGGTGTGTGTCAGGAGTGATATTTTTGAGTAATAGAATAAACTTATATGTAGTTTTAGTATAATCTGCCCCAAACAGTTGTCTAAAGTAGCTGTATTGGGGTTTTTCTGCGGTGGCCACAGAGGTGGTGTGGGAAGTAGATACCTCCTGCTGGACTCCTGGCTGTGCTGCTTCTGTCTGCTCCACAGCAAGAAGCGCTTTCTCCACAGGAGATCAATAAAAGACTGCGTAAGAAAAATAATTTCTTTCTCCTAAGCCATGGCATATCAGTTATACGAAAATACCACTTGGGGAAACAGTCTTCAGGAAAGCCTTGATGAGCTCATACAGTCACAACAGATCACTCCCCAAATTGCCCTTCAAGTTCTGCTTCAGTTTGATAAGGCTATAAATTCAGCATTGGCTTACAGAGTCAGGAGCAGAGTCAATTTCAGGGACTCTATAAATACGTACAGATTCTGCGATAATATGTGGACTTTTGTATAGAATGATGTTGAATTCAGAAAGGTGACAGAATTATTAAAGTGAATAAAGTGAAAACTGTAGCCTGTGATAGTAAAAATACTGGCTCCAATACTACAGAATGAATAGAAAAATGGCTTTTTTAATGCTGTCTACTGTTACTATTCATTGCTTTTTAAAGAGAAGCATAGAAGAGACTTTATTTATTCTAGGACTGCAAAAATGACTCCACTGTGCTAAACTATCAGATAATCCAATAGAAAGAAGCTTATAACTCTGTAGCCTCTTACATTACCTTTATTATACAACATGAAGAAACAGAAGTTTTTCTTAATGACAAATCAAATGCCGCTGCCTTCCTAATAACATTCTATAATAAAACTCATTTTAAAACTAAAAAAAAAAATTCTATTCGGTGTATGAACTTTTAAATATTAAGAGAAATATCCAAATTGCTCCCCCAAATTGCCATACCAAATTACATGGTGCATGTGTTGTTTCCCCCACATTCTTGTCAAATTTTTTTTTTTTATTCTTTTTGACCCTCCAATGGTGACAATATCTCATTGTAATTCGTATTTCTTTGATGGGCATAACATGACAGATCTCAGTACTTTTTCAAACCTCCTTTTATGTCTTTTAGGAAAACTATAGAACTGTTTTCCCCTTAACAATCTATTCCTTTTGGTTTCAGGATTATGAAATCTATTAATATCTTTTTTCTTTTGTATATGGTTTCAGTGGGAGAACCAATCAACCAAGAGGCCTGGGAGTGGCTCCACAAGGTGGTAGGGGATAGCAGATGTACACTGGTAGACACCTGGTGGCAGACAGGTGAGAGCGTCCCTGAGGAGGAGGGGTCAGGGCATGCCTGGGAAACTGGGTACAGAGTTCACCCAGTGGGCCCCTTGTGCAATAGTGGTGCTCTCACATTAGTGCACTGAGAACATACAACTAAGCCCCAAAAGTGGGGGATCAGGCATGAGGCTGTGCAAATGCAATCCAACACCACTAATGCCTCAGCCCTCATCATATGTGGCTGTTGAAAACCTAGCGTATGGAGCGAGGAAGCTCAGAGGTGGAGCCTGGCTACTTACTATTTTGTAGCTGTAAGACTTGGGATGTGTAATGACTTCTCTGAGCCTCAGTTTCCTCATTTGTAAAATGGGGCACTGTCTCCAGGCCCCGGGTAAGGAGGGAATGAGGAGTTAACCATTAACGCATGTTGCCCAAGGCCTGACATATGTAGCAAGTACTCAGCTAAATGTTCACTTTCCTCACCGGGGCCACTTTCTGAATGTATGTACATGTGTTGAAGACGATGAGCCCTGCTGTTGAAGGAACTATGAGTCTAAATCTAAGTGTTAGTGGAAAAACAATTTTCTGTGGCATTTTGTTTAGATTTGCCCCACCTTTTCTTGGTTATCTGACTTAATAGGATGTTTGGGGCAGGAGACCACCACTGATGTGGCTGAGGTCTCATCTTTTCAGAAGCCAGAAAGTGGGATGTTCCAAATAGCTCAGTTCTCATCCATTCAGCAGGGCACAGGACTGAGATTACAACTGAGTCTCATAAGGTATTTCCATGCAGGCTGATAGAGGGAAGTGCCAGAGAAATAATGTAAAAACAGAATTCGTGGGCATCTATTTTCATTGTTTGGTCTGTGTGGAATGGGCCTTAGCCCAGAAGCAATTCTTCGCCTCCATCTTTCTGTGCAAGCAGGTGGGCTTCGCCTTTCCTGCTAAAGCGAGGGCTGGACAAGCAGGGCCTTGGAGGAGGAGAGGCAGCACCCACCAGGTGTTGTGTAGCCACGGCACCTAGGACTGAGCCCTCTACTTGGGCCCCATTCCATTCTGCAGTGGAAGAGACCAGAGCCCAAGTTTAGTTTTGCCTCAGACAAAGTCCTTGTGACACGGGGCCATTTCTTTGCCCCAAATGGGCAGTCCCACCCACCTCCCACTCTGAGAGTGCACCAGTCAGCGTGTCTGTCCCAGACCCTTGATGACATAAACATGTCACTAGCCCCTAAGCCCTGTGGCGTTTTTTCCCCATCCTCCCCACAGAAACGGGTGGCATCTGTATTGCACCACGGCCCTCAGAAGAAGGGGCAGAAATTCTTCCTGGCATGGCAATGAGGCCCTTCTTTGGCATTGTTCCAGCTCTCATGGACGAGAAGGTGTGTAAGGGCCTCACAGAAGCATCCCCTTTTTCCTTGTGCACCCCACTTATCTCCCCAGCATTTCTTTCCACCTTCCTGGCCTCCTCTGCCCACTCACCCATGTCACACATGCCCAGGATCTGGTAGGTGGCGAAAGGGCCTGTGTCTTCATGCAGCATTCACTGCAAAGGAGTCTCCTCTGAGACACAGTGGATAAAATCACCACATGGGGCTAGCCCAGGTTCTCCTCAGAAACTCTTGAGGCCAGTTCCTTGCAGAGGAGAAAGCTCTGGACAGTCCCTTTGGGGCACATTTGTCATTTATCTGCCTCTAACCAAGAATTAGGAGAACAATGTTGATTGTCAGGTTTTTTTTTTTTACTTCGCAACCAGAATCTGCCTGATCTCTCACACTTGTGTCTCCTGGGTCTGCAGGGGAATGTCATGGAGGGCGGCGATGTCTCCGGGGCTCTGTGCCTCTCCCAGGCCTGGCCGGGCATGGCCAGGACCATCTATGGAGACCACCAGAGATTTGTGGATGCCTACTTCAAGGCTTATCCAGGTGAGCTGCTAATGTGGGTCAGGTCCTGCCTTTATACACACTGCTGGAACTGTATTCTCAGAAAACGTTTCTAAGGTAACGGTGACTGTGAGCATAATGCAGGTTAAGGACAGGCATTTTTGAGGCGTGAGTTTGAGTCCTGCCCCCTCCTCCTTTACCTCCCTGACTATGTCTAAAATGGGAAAAGACCCACCTCAGGGACATGGAGTTAAGTGCGAGAGCATGCGGAGCCCTGAGCACATGGCCCATGGTGCACAGTCCTTAGGCAATTAGGAAAGAACAGTGAAAAAACCACCTTGGAAAACTAGCATGATGGCTGCAAGTTTTCTTCTGTTTTACTTTTTTCATGCTTCCCAGTTTGCTTTTGTGTCATTGAATTGGAATTTACATATAACAGTGTGCCTGTTGGGATTCAGTCTCAAGCTTGTAAATGAGACTAATTTTGGGGGAAACCTGAGTATGCTCATTGTTATGTCTTCTGCTCCCCAGACATTTGCAATCTTGACTGCATTCTGCTATCTCAGAATCACCTGCCTTTCACTAGCAGACAGCCAAATAGCACATCTAGGGAGTGTCTCTGAGGGGTTGCAAGGAGGGCCAGCAGGGAGGAAGCCAGCAGAGTGCAGGGCTTCAGAGCTTTCTTCTGCAGAGCGAGGTTAAGCCACGGGTCCCGTTGTGTCCCTTATGGAAGGATGGGAGCCCCGCTGGGTCTTGGTTCAGAGGTACTGGCGCTGAATTCCCGCACTGTGGTGCAGGCTACTACTTCTCTGGAGATGGGGCTCACCGAACGGAGGGCGGCTATTACCAGATCACTGGGCGGATGGACGATGTCATCAACATCAGCGGCCACCGGCTAGGGACTGCGGAGATCGAGGATGCGATGGTGAGTGCAGGTCATGTTGGCCTCAAATTGGGAGCTGTATATAATTTGCTGTGTCAGGTGTTCTACTTCTCACCTTTCTGTTCTGTTCTGTGCAGTCTAGTCACCCTGCAGTGCCGGAGACTGCCGTCATTGGCTACCCCCATGACATCAAAGGAGAAGGTGAGCACCAGGGAAGGAGCTCCTCTGATCTCTGGCTTTGGCACCTCTGTAAAAAGAACAGAATCCAGAATATGGGTGGCAGGGTGTTTATGGGTGAAGCTATTGGTTTTCTTCTCCTTCAAGTGGAGATTTTGGATAAAGAGGCTGAACAGCATGCCTGTGAGACTAGAGGGTCAGATTTCTGAGATGCCCTAGCTCCGCTCTCCTTTAACGACACTCATCCACAAGCAGCTCTGAGCTATTTGGCCCCAGCTGAGCTTGGGGAGTTCGTGCCTGTGTCCATGGTTTCTCTGGAGGCCCCATTACAGAGGACCTATGTTGAAATGCCCTGCCGTGCTCACAGCATCCAGTGCCAGCTCTGCACCCATGCTGGCAGATCAGAGTGTGCCCTGGAGCAGGCTCTTTTGCTGCTCTAGGACTATTTTTGGAAGAATTTGGCTTGTGGTTCCCACTGTACAGTGACACGTGGGGGAACACAGAACAGGTGATCAGTTGTCTTCTTTACGAGGACACACTTCGTTCCCAAGTCTGCCCGTTTCTAAGCAGGTGGATCTAGGAAGGGGCAGAGTCCACCTGCGTGTTGTAATGCATGGTCTGGCATGACCTGAACACTCACTGACCCTGCGCTGCACTGCTGGGCAGACTGACCTCTACTGTCCCACTAGGTGGCCTGGGATTGGGTGCTCTTCCTCCTGTTATCAGGGACATCCTGTGTTGAGTGTGTCTCAAATGTCCCCTGCTTCCCTTCCATGTTTGTGTGCTACTATTTTATTATTTCCTCAACATTTTCTCTGTAAAATTTAAGATTTATTTCAGTGCTCTAAAAAAAAGCATGTTCAGTTACCATGAGAAGGATGTAACCATGAGGCTGCTTTCCGTTTGTTATCAGGAGACTGGGATGTGAGGGAGAGGTGTTAGGGATCAGAAGTGGGCAGACATGGGAACAGGTCCTCATGTGTGACTCTCAGAGGCCTCGGGCTGCTTCACACGCCCATCATCAGCTCTCTACTTCCTGGTACCCTAAGTGACTCTGATACTGCCAGGCCTTGTAATGTCTGCCAGGCTGGTTGTGGAGAATTTGTATATCATGGGTATGATGATATGCATTTTCCTGATTTGTTGCAAATTTGAGCATCTGTCCATTTGTAATACATGAGTAACCCATTAACTGTTCTTAATAAGTTCTAAAGCTATCTGCGAAAGCTGTTGTACATTTATGTGTTCCTAATCCTCTGTCTGCACTTGATCTGACCAATGTGCTGTACCTTTGCTATTGGCCTGTTTCACCAGTCACCAAGCTCAGCCTTGTAAACCTCCTCCTGGCTGTTAGCCAGCTACTCCTCCCACATTGAGGCTTTCCTGACACATCTCTGCTCAGAACTCAACAATCCAGGCTCATTTCAGCACTATCTCATTCTCTAATGATACAAGTGACTAGCAGGGAAGGGCACTGATTAGAGACAAGGGGGAAACACTCAGGACAGCATGTCTAGTGTGATCCCACTAGGTTTTTTTTTTTAATTTAAAAAATTTTTTATTGTGAAATAAACATTTTTTAAAATTAGTTTCAGCTGTACAGCACAGTGCAATAGTGATACCTTTTACCCCTCAAAGTGACAACCCCCCTCCCCCAATCCGCTGCCCCACTTCCCCCCAATATCATACATATCTATTACAATT